TTATGTACATGTGTTTTTTTTTCGTTTTTTATTTTTAATAAATTGCAAAGATTTCAAATGAACTGATTTAATTGTCATTATGGGGTATTGTTTGTAGAATGTGGAGGAAAAAAAAATGAATTTAATCCATTTTGGAATAAGGTTGTAACATGACAAAATGTGGCAAAAGTTAAGCGCTGTGAATACTTTCTGGATGAACTGTATCTTATTTGTAGTGCAAACAAATAAGAAAAAAACAAATACAATATTTAAAATGCACTGTACACTGTAATGCACTGGCCATCAAAATGCACTTCTGCACTTTATGTTTCATATTATTTAGAAGGTTTTATGGTTTCCTTTTAGTGCATTTGCTGCTTCATTTTCCAGTTTCTAGTGCTTGCTGAATTCCTACCTTTTATATAGTTATATAATGGATATGGGCTGAAAGTGCACACTCTCAGGTTTAATTTGAGGGTATGTACATCCAAATTGGAGGAAGGGTTTAGGAATTACAGCTTACGAGTAGCCATCCCCCTTTTTCAAGGGACCAAAAGTAATTGGACAATTGAATCAAAAGCTGTTTCATGGCCAGGTGTGGGCTACTCCATTATTTCTTCATCAATTAAGTAGGTAAAAGGTCTGGAGTTGATTCTAAGTGTGGTATTTGCATTTGGAATCTATTGCTGTGAACCTACATCATGCGTTCAAGGGAGTTGTCCATACAAGTGAAACAGGCCATTGTAAGGCTTCAGAAATGAAACAAATCCATCATAGAGATAGCAGCAACATTAGGAGTGGCCAAATCATCAGTTTGGCACATTCTGAGGAAAGAAGAATGCACTGGAGAGCTCAGCATCATAAAAAGGCATGGACGTCCACGGAAGACAACAGTGGGTAATGATCGTAGGATTCTATTGTAAAGAAAAACCCATTCACAACACCCAGACAAGTGAACAGCAATCTCCAGGAGGTGGGCGTATCATTGTCAAAGTCTACAATCAAGAGAAGACTTCACGAGAGCAAATAAAGAGGGTTCACCACAAGGTGCAAACCATTCATAAGCCTGAAGAATAAAAAAGCCACATTAGACTTTGCCAAAAAACATCTAAAAAAGCCAGACCAGTTCTGGAAAAGCATTCTTTGGACGGATGAAACTAAGATTAATCTGTACCAGAATGATGGGAAGAAAAAAGTGTGGAAAAGGCTTGGAACAGTTCATGATCTAAAGCACACAACGTCATCTGTAAAACATGGTGGAGGCAGTGGGATTGCATGGGCATGCATGGTTTTCAGTGGCACTGGGTCATTGATGTTTATTGATGATGTGACAGAAGACAGAAGCAGCCGGATGAATTCTGCAGTGTTTATAGATATACTGTCAGCCCAGATTCAGCCAATGCGGCAAAGTTGATTGGACAGCGCTTCACAGTACACATGGACAATGATCCAAAACACACTGCAAAAGCAACCCAGGAGCATTTGAAGAAAAAGCAGTTGAATATTCTGCAATGGCTGAGTCAATTGACTGATATCAACCCAATTGAGCATGCATTTCACTTGCTGAAGGCAAAACTAAAAAGGCAGGAAGATCCACAAAGAACACTGAAGACAGCTGCAGTTAGAGCCTGGCAAAGTATCAGAAAGGAGGAAACCCAGTCTTTGGTCATGTCCATGGGTTCCAGACCTCAGGCAGTCATTGCCATTATATGATTCTCAACAAAATATTAAAAATTAACATTTTATTTATGATTATATTAATATGTTCAATTACATTTGAGCCCCTGAAAATGGAGGGACTGTGTATAAAAATTATTGCAGTTCCTCAAATTTGTACTTGGTATTTATGTTCAACCCCTTGAATTAAAGCTGAAAGTCTGCACTTCAAATTAATTTTGATTGTTTTGTTTTAATTTATTCTGTGGCATACAGAGCCAAAAGTATGAACATTGTGCCTGTGTCCAAATATATATGGACCTAACTATATATATATATAAAATTTATTTATTGTGAGAAATAGCATCAAGGGTAGAGCTTTAAAGCACACATACACTCGCTTTCTTCTGTTTAAGTGCAGTTTTTGACCGATATTATTTAAAAGAAAGTTCCATAAGTCCAAAACCATACATTTCCCTCACAGGGGTTTTCAGAATTTTACTCTTCCAGCCCCAGACTTAGCCTCCTGGCTTATACATTTAATCCTGCTGCTCTGGCCTTCCACTTCAGGCTCACGTCTGTCTCCTGAAGACTCTTTTCTAAATGGCTCTTTGCACACAGCTGGTAGCCCCTTGCTGCTCTGGCTCCCACCTCTCCTCGGTGGAGCTCTCCTGACACCTGGGCAACAACCTCCTGTCAGCCAGGGTGGAGCTCAGAACCCTAGTCAGGTTATTATTTAATGCTCTGCACACATCTGTACAATTAGTGTGCTGGAGGTTCAGAAAACATGGACCCAGGATTGGAGATTTCATCCCTCCCAAATCACTTCGAAATCTTCAGGCCCCAGGTCCCGAAACAGACTTTACGAACAAACGAGGAAACGGAAAAGCCAGTTTCCTCTGCATTGAGCAAACCGCCTGGAGCCCCTCAACCTGTTTAGTTTAGAATCCTGGGTTATAACCTTCATTCCCACTGTGAGAGTGCCCAGAACTGCCACAATATATATGTGATTTGTAGGCAGCTGTTTGTAAGAAATGTGTTCATTGTATCTGCATTTGTGAGAGACGTTCACAAGCATATTGTAACTTTAGAATATGTGATTGTATTTTTTTGTGCATCACTGCTAGAACACACAAAAAAATAGTTTTCTTTGTGTCCTATTCACACAGCAATGCAGCACAGAGCTGTGCTGCAGTGATCTGCGATAAAATGCTGCATTTTGTCTCAGTACACTGGACAGGATCACATGTAAATGTACAGTAGTGCAGCACACTGCACTACTATACAGTGACATACATAAAGTGTCACTTCTGTACACTTCAAATAAACTTCAAATAAGTTTGAAAAAAAAAAAAGGAGCTGTGTGATGTGCTGAATGGCACACCGCGTAGCCCCCTACACCCGGCTCTGTACTGATTTTTACAGAAATGCAGTCTTACCATTGTAAGGTTCTCAGACAGTCCCAGTGCTAGCTTGCAATGATCTCAGCTGAATGGAAAAAAAGAGAAATGTGGACTCTATGCCAACACAGTACAGTTTTTTTAAAACATTCAAGACCTTCACATTAAACTGAAATAAACTGTTCTCTTACCAGTAGATTAGAGGAAGGCTTTACAATAATGGAATTTACCTGTCAAAGACAGATGCACATAATGCACTGTCTGATTAATTACACTGAAATGATACAACATTACATTTCCCACACATTGCCCTGTAATTTGTCTAGTTTAGAGGTGACATTATGACTGATCCAAACAAAAGACCTGATCTTCTAAACAGTATATGAGCTACGGGTGCTTAAAAGAGAAATGTGTCCTTTCTTCATTTAAACGTATGGCTTATGTCATTACTCTTCCACATTGCTGGTGTCACCAATAAAGCTGTCACTGAGGTCAACAGGAGTATCCTTTTCTGGGAAGACTGAGTCAGTAAGGCCTAATAGACACCTTATTTTATTACCTCCGTGTCCGAAAATATAGACAAATTAACATGGCATAGACTGGTTATATGAGGGAAACGTCTGCAATATAGGATTCTCTAATAGCTGTTGTGCAAAAAATTTCATAGGGATGGTGGATGTTCGATTTGATCTAACACATTTCTTTTCCAATGATTTTTACAACAAAGATGGGACCTTTGAGGTACAAATTATATAGATTGTCATTACTGTTAAAAATTATACTTAATATCCATAATTATATTTTTGCCAATATTGTATTTTATCAATAAAAAAAACCTCTTTGATAAAACATTTTTATAGTATTCATCCAGGCCTTTTCCAATCACCCATCAATCATATCCTTTTCTAAATATACAGAAGTATACATTAATGCATAGTCATTGGTATCAAGTTATGATGGGGAAGCTGTATACATTCTCAATGTGTTTCTTGAACAAATATGTAATTATTTACAATGATACAATTTTATTATACAGGATAGATGGATGGATGGATGGATGGATGGATGGATGGATGGATGGATGGATAGATAGATAGATAGATAGATAGATAGATAGATAGATAGATAGATAGATAGATAGATAGATAGATAGATAGAGCCACCCCCAAAGGGACTGCTTGGTAATTTTGGGTTCTCTGTTCTGTGCCTTGACTTCAAGAACAATCTCTGGCACACCTAGCTGAAAAAAATCACTGCAAGCACAAGTAAAGACATGAATGTAAAATACTTTTTGCCTGGCTGTGGGTTATTACCAGTAAATAAACACACATCTGTTTAGTTGTAAACACACTTAATCTATTGATACAGATTAGAAGAAATGGCTGTTTGAACATCACCCAGCAGATAATTTAGGACACAATCTACTAGACAGAGTATTAACTATGCCCAAGAGAAAAAAATCATCAGGTTCTATACCGCTAACTAGAATAAAAAAATGGATTAGCAATTCAGCAATAAACAATGTAAATAAATTTTAAATGCAGTATAAATGGTAATAATATTACACTGGTTTAGAGTGCACTCTAATAAATGGGCAGGGCTATGGTATCTCTTTCTCTAGAAAAAGAGGCATAGGCCTTGGGCAGCAATGGTTAGGGACAGGCTTTAGCCCTTACTCTTCAGCCGGATAAACGTTGGAGCTCTTTAACCGTTGACACGCTGTGAGGCAATTGATAAGGCCTGCAGGCAGGATTAGAGCTAAGGAGTAGCTGGTCAGGTGGTCCCTAATGGCTCAGTCTCTAGGGAAGGTAGCTAATGGTGACTGCAAGGCACTCTCACCAGACACAGTGACACATCAGCAACAGTCCCTTCCATTGGATTTCCGTTTACTCTAGGTGCCCCTGGCGACTCTGGTATGTACAGATAACACCAAATTTAACACACCTGCTCCCATTCACACCTGAGTCCCTTCTGGGATGACAGCCATTCAGACCAATTTGATGCAGTGTGCGACGTATGGTCTAAGCACTGACAGGCTGACCCCCCTACCCCTTCAACCTCTGCAGCAATGCTGGCAGCACTCATACCTTTATTTACCAAAGACAACCTCTGGATATTACATTTATAAATGTAGCGCTCCTTAAAAATATATTAATCCATGCTTGTGATTTGTGATAAACGCATAACATAATCAAATCATACTTTTATAGATAAAACAATTATAATGACATGATTTCAATAAATAAAAATGTCCACTGAAAAATGTGATTATTACTTTACTCTAAAAAATATATAGTCCCATTACTCAATAAGTGATCCAAAAATCGTGACGTGGTGACTTAATCATAAAATAGTGACTTTCTGTGATCCTCCAACCAGTAAGATTGTGCGCTCACCTCCTTTATGCCTAAAAAGTAGGCTACACACGCTTGTGGTTCACACAACCTGGAACCTGCTGGATCAGCTGTAGCATATCATGGATATGTGATCTCTCCTATGGATACCCGTTCCCCCACTCCTCCCCGCATTTAGACTGGTCCCCGCAGATTCTACACCTCTGCGCTCCACAAGTCTAGGGTCCTGAAATCATCAAGACTAGAGCAGGGTCCATAGCACTGCACTGGACATGAGGATCCAACCTCTGGATATGACGCTGAGCACGTGCACTCACCTTCTGTGGTCTACCATGGCGAGGCCTGTTCTGAGTGGAATCTGTCCTGTTAAACCACTGTATGGTGTTGGCCACCATGCTGCAGCTCAGTTTCAGGGTCTTGGCAATCTTCTTATAGCCTAGGCCATCTTTATATAGAGCAACAATTGTTTTTTTCAGATTCTCAGAGAGTTATTTGCCATGAGGTGCCATGTTGAACTTCCAGTGACCAGTATGAGATTGAGAGCGATTACAACCAAATTTAACACACCTGCTCCCCATTCACCCCTGAGACCTTGTAACACTAATGAGTCACATGACACTGGGGAGGGAAAATGGCTAATTGGGCCCAATTTGGACATTTTCACTTAGGGGTGTACTCACTTTTGTTGCCAGCGGTTTAGACATTAATGGCTGTGTGTGGAGTTATTTTGAGGGGACAGCAGATTTACACTGTTATACAAGCTGTACACTCAATACTTTACATTGTAGCAAAGTGTCATTTCTTCAGTGTTGTCACATGAAAAGAGATAATAAAATATTTACAAAAATGTGAGGGGTGTACTCACTTCTATGAGATACTGTAGCTTCATCACTCCATGCTCAGCTCACGTTCTGTAGTCTGTGGATGTCCCTCACACAGCTGTGGGCTTCCGCTGACTCAGGCTCTCTTTTTTAGGTGGAGTTCCTCCACATCAACTCCTATCACCCTCTCCCTTGTCACACTCTTCCCTTGAAGCTCCTCTTTCCCAGGTAAAAATCTGGTTGCATATCCTCCTTTTTATCAGCTCTGTGAGAATTGTAGTCCAGATCCCAGAGCCTGCCTCTGGGGACTATATCTCCCATTATGCTCCTCTCATGCCTGTGATTGGTCCCTAGCTGTTTCTGGGGAGGAGGAGGAGAGGAAGATAGAGTGGGTTGTGAGCTGGTCCACACAAAGTCCACTGTCATCCATAGTGTCCTTTCACAGCTGCTCCAGTCCCTTATCTGGTCCCACTGTCACCGACAGAGGGAGAAAGGGGCGAGCGGGCGATCACCATAAAACCCACTGCTCTGCCTCTTCCCCCTCCCACAGGGCGGCCACTGCATCCCTCCCAGCAGGAAGAGTGAGCAGGGGGGAGGCTTCATATATATAACACTGTACTTATCATTAACAATTTCCATTTAGCATGCTTTGCTTGATTACATATATGTAAATAATTTATTTCTATGTATTGTGTGTTAAAGTGTTACTAAACCCAGGACCCTGCATTCACTATATCTGGTCTCCCACAGTACACAGAACATAGAAGTGAAATTATATAAGTAAATATAAACTGCTAAATACCTTTTTTCATCAGCAGTTAGAGCAGTCTTGTGACTTCTATCAGTGTCCAGCTGAACACTGGTTAGAGTTTTAGGAGGAGTTTTCATTGTCCTCTCACTACCCTATCATATTGCATAACCCCTGACCCTTTGTCTGGACAGCGCTGATTGCCCCTGTGCTGAAAATATGCACCTTCCCAAGAAAAAAAAAACAAAATCTCAAACAATACACACCAAACTGAGCATGTGCAGCTTGCCCCAAGGCTCTGTTCTATCAGCAGATGGGATGGGGACAGTAAAAGGGAAGGATCAGAGAACACAGGATCAAACATCCTTTTTACACAATGTGGAGGATTAACCCCTTAGGTTCCACAGTGAGTATACCAAGTATGTTTTACTGTATATGCAGACTGATTTTACTGTTGTGGGTTTAGTAGCATTTTAAAAGGTACTCACCTCTTTCCTGAAGATGTTTTTTTTCTTGAACGCATTGAGAATGTGTGCAACTTCCCATCATAAGTTAACATTTATGGCTATGCATTATTTTATTCTTCTGTATAAATAGAAAATGATTTGATTGATGGGTGACAGATGAAAGTGTGGATGTACTATGTACAAATGTTTTATCAAAGACATTTTAATGGCTATTAAGAACATATAATTTAACAGTAAATTTGTATATATAATTTGCACCTCAGTCCCATCTTTGTTTTATGGTTACTGCAGAACCTGCCACTTGTTTATAATTGTGCACATATGCACACAAAATCTAACTTGGTTAAATGATAAAGGTGCCTAGAGTTAAGTCCTGGAGACCTTTTTCAACTCAAAGAGGAACCAAACTCTCCCCAGCCAATCCAAAAATAGAATAATCCATAGACATGAATATCTTTGTCTGTTCTGTCCAAAATCGTCAGGATCGTAATCCTTATATGCACGTGTAGATACTGCTATCTAAAGATACTTTTAATGTATTTTTCTAGTCTTATGATCAGACAATGAAGGAGCACCATGCTGCTTTCTCCACTTATAACCATAGTCAAACTGCATCTTAAAGGGTAACTCGACTTTCGAGGGAAAAAATAGTATATAAAAAAATAATATAGCATATACAATTGCGACACAAGCCATATTGTAATTGAATTTTATTATACATTATCTTTCCTTTCCAACCTGCAGCGCTGTAATATTCTATAAACTGCAATGCAATATGGAAACCTAGAGGCTTTCTGCACACAGATGGTGTACAGAACGCCCCCCAGAACTGTCATTTCCTTCTTGTGTGATTGGCTTACTGATTTTCCTCGAAAGTCTGCACTAAGATACAAGTTAGATTTTGGGCATCCCCTGCAACAAAAATGTCATTTTTGGTGAGATACTCCCAAAGGGAAATCATGTCTAACAGGATGCAGACCCTGCAATTTCCCTCATTAGAGCCCTGCAGGTGCAGCAGCTGATTGGTAATTATAAAACCACTTCCAATCTGCACATGGACACAAACAAACAGCTATTTCTTCAGAATAACAAAATGTAGGAATCTGCAACAAAGTTTGTTAAGATCTTTACTATCTACATTGATCACCCAGAGGGGAATTTTTTTCTCAACAAAAGTGGAGTTACTCTGTATAAGTGCCCTGTATTGACGTGGTTAAGACTAAGCACTTTGTGTACAAAACTCATTAAGGATACCGAGTGCTGGTATCCTGAAGTGCAGATGTGACCACATATATGTGGATCTGCACAAAGAACACCAGACTCAAACTAAGTGAACATACTGTAAATATGATTTATTAACAAACAGCACAAGTGGCAAGCAATATACTGTAAACACAACAATAAAATTGTTGTTGATACCAACATCCACGTACATCAAAATATATAAAAACCTAGAGACCCTTTATGAAAGTGTACCTAACCACTGGAAGTGAACCAACTAAGGCAAACATGAAGACAGCTATCTAAACTAAGTGACAACTTTAGGACTGCCCACCCACATTACACTGCAAACGAGTGGCTCTTACAGGCCAAGTGCCTACCCAAACCCCCACTGACTCCTGCTGTGATTGGACACAGACGGATTTTGTCAGCGGGTCCCGGTCAATGATTCTTGGCTGAGACCTGCTGATTGGCTGTGTCCACTCACAGCCCATAGCCCTGCGTTTATAAACATGCAAGGCTCTGTACTGAGGGAATGATCTCTTTGTTTCTTCTCCCTGCAAAGCGGGGGAAGGAACAAATATATTTTTAATAAAAGGCAGCGCATAATATTCACATCAACACTTGTTAGGCATGCACTTAACCCCTTGATTACCCTGAGATGCTAAACCCTTCCTAGTCAGTGTCATTAGTACAGTGACAGTGTATAGTATTATCACCGATTACTGTATTAGTGTCACTGGTGATGTCAGTGTCAGTTATTCAGTTTGTCTACTTCCCACCCAGCGTCAGTTAGTGTCAGATTGTCCATCCCACTACACAGTCCCACTATACAGTAAGTCGCTGATCATCGCCATTGCTAGTATAAAAAAAAAATAAATACAAATTTCCTCTATATATACCATAGTTTGTAGACGCTATAACTGTCACAGACACCAGTCAATATACACTTACTGGTTTTTGTTTTGTTTTTACCAAAAACATGCAGCAGAATACATTTTTGCCTAAATTTATGAAGAAATGTGATTTTTTTTACTGAATTTGTTTTATAGCAGAAAGTAAAAAAATATTGTTTTATTTTCAGAATTACCACCAAAGGTGCCATTAAATATCACAGAGGCTGTATCAAAATATGAACCCTGTAATTGTATTAGTTGTTTTTTTATCTGAGTTAATAAATTGAAGTACGCTATTGCGGGTCTCCTCTTTGATCTCTTGAACCCAGGTGGGACTGAAAGTGGAAGTGGCGGTGAGAGGGTACCCCAAGAGGAGTATATGAGGAGGATGTCTGATGGAAGAAAAGCCTATTTAAAGCGCTACTGACCTTCTTATTCAAAATAAGGGGTCACCATTATTCAGTGGTGGTTGTGAATAAGCACAGGAACCTTCTGGTTGTTATGGGCCACAGGTGTGCAGAAAATAGCAGGCACAGACATTTGGAAAAACACTTTATTGGTTTGCACAGTGGACTGATCACAGCATATTATTTGCAGAACCAGCACTTTTATATATAGTGGACTTCACTGAGGCAATGGTATATAAGAGCAATCACACTGTTTCCCTGAAGACGTCACACGGACAAAACATGTTGGGCGGAGCCAAGCTCTTCACATCACTTCCTCTGATGTCATTTTCAGCTAGTGGAATGCACGGCCCTTTTGATGAGGAAGTGAAGGTCTCACTGAATATCATAGGGGCTGAACTAACATATGAACCCTGTAAGTGCAGCAATTGTTTTTTTATTTGAGATAACAAATTGAATTATCCTATTGCGGGTTTCCTCTTTGTTCTCTTGAACCGAGTGGGACTGGAAGTGGAAGCGAAGGTGAGAAGTTACCCCCAAAGGAATATATGAGGAGGATGTCTGGTGGAAGGAAAGCCTATTTAAAGTGCTACTGACCTTTTTATTCAACAAATGGGGTCACCATTATTTGGTGGGGAGTGGTGAATAAGCACAGGAACTTTCTGGTTGTTGTGGGTCACAGGTGTGGAGAAAATAAAGAACAGCAGGGACAGACATTTGGAAAAGCACTTCATTGCTTTGCACAGAGGACTGATCACAGCATATTGTTAACAGAACAAGCATTTTTATATATATATTGGACTTTGGGACTACATTTTGTTTTTGTTTATTACACAATTTTTTTTGCTTCCACTGTGGATTGTATCGTTATACTGGATATAGCACTAGCATTATGCATTGGAACTAGAGGGATAGAAGGAGGATTTATAAATGATCTTTATATTTTTTGGTGTAGTTTAGCGCTGCACCAAGTTTTATTTATGTTAACTTGCATTCAAATTACTGACAGCACTGATCGGAAAGAGTGCTGGTCCTTCTGCAAGTGAAAGCATTCCTCTGCGGGGGATAACAGCAGGCCTATACCAGGACAGGTCCAAA